AAGCTCCTGGAGCGTATTCTGCGAGACTACATAAGCGCGCACCTTCTACAAATCGGTTTCTTTTGCAACGCTCAACACGGATTCATCAAAGGCAGATCTTGTCTAACAAATCTGTTATGTTTCCTTGACGTAGTAACACAGAAATTAGACGAGGGAACGGAAGTCGAAGTGTGCTACCTGGACTTCCAGAAAGCATTCGACTCAGTTAACCACAGGTTGTTAGATTTCAAGCTCCGAGAAACTGGGCTTAATCCGAAAGTCTGTAACTGGGTTAGAGCGTTCTTGTCCGGGCGGACCTACAGGGTTCGTGTGCGGGGATGTCTGTCGGAGGTGGGTTCCCCCACGAGCGGGGTCCCACAAGGATGCATCCTAGCTCCCCTTCTCTTCCTCGTCTATGTCAACGACATAACATCAGGTTTGGAGAACCCCTGCTTTTTGTACGCGGATGACATCAAATTAGTTGGAAACCCGGACGACAGATACTCCTTGCAGAGTGATATCTTAAAGATATGCGAGTGGTCGCAAAAATGGGACCTCCCACTCAACGCATTGAAGAGTTATCTGCTAGCCAAAATAACGCATCCCGTCCCTCGCCAGATCCTCACTACGGCCGGAGCATATGCAACCCTAGCTTACAAATCAGAGGCAATGGACCTCGGGATAAGAGTCTCCAACACCTTTTCCCCGTCCTCTACCGCTGTAGCAGCAGCCTTAAAAGCCAGGCGTGCTCTGTTTAGACTCCGAACGGCAATCACCAACCGTTGTCCTAGTGTGTTCATGCCCCTGTACACAGCCATCGTAAGGACCCACCTCAAGTACTGTGTTCAGGCTTGGACACCGTATCTTCAGAAGGACATCAAAGTTCTAGAAATCGTTCAGCGGCCAGAAATCCGGATGGTGTGGGGTCTAAAAGGACTCAGCTACTCGAAAAGACTGAACTCCCTGAACCTGTTCTCTCTAGAACGCCGACGGATGAGGGGGGACCTCATTGAAGTGTACAAAGCTACCAGGAACATGGAGCAGTCCCCCATTGGACACCTGTTCACCCTGAGGGCCAACGACATCCTCCGAGGGCACTGTTACACACTAGAGAGAACCAGGTGCAGGCTAGCAATTAGACATCACTTCTTTGCAAATAGAGTAGTCCCTGCATGGAACAAACTACCAGCTCGAATAGTTGATTGTCCTACCATGAAGGCTTTCAAACTTGAGCTGGACAAGGAGTGGTACCTCTTATTCCCAGAACTGCCCTAGGGATCAGGGTTCCCTAAGTTTACTGATGGAATGCATATAACAGATACTTCGCCGTCTCCCTTTCCCTTCTACCTTCCAGATATTACTCCCTCGTGGAGAGTCGGAAGAAGCTTTACACTCGCAGGCGAGTCGGTCCACAGACGGAACCCGCCGTTACCAGGGCACCCAACAGGCGAAGGCCTCCCTACGTCCTGTGATTTGAATTTGAATTTGACCTGACCTGACCTGTCTCAGGAGGTGGTC